GCGAGAGAGGGAACACAAGCAGGGGGAATGGGAGAGGGAGAAGCAGGCTTCCCGCGGAGCAGGGAGCCCGATGCAGGGCTCGATCCCAGGACCCTAGGATCATGACCTGAGCTGAAGGCAGACACGTAGCGACTGAGCCACCCAGGTGCCCCCTCCTAGGTAGTTTATTCTTTTGGATGTTATTATAAATGGAATTGTTTTCTCAATTTCTTTTTTAGATTGTTCATTGCTGGTGTACAGAAACACAACTGATTTTGTGTGTTGGTTATATACCCTGCAACTTTGGTGAATTTATTTATTAGCTCTGGTAGTTTTTTGTGGATTCTTTGGGATTTTCTAACATGTTGGATTACATCATCTGTGAATAGAAATAATTTTACTTCTTCCTTTCCAATTTGGAGGCCTTTTATTTCTTTTTCTTGCCTAACTTCTCTGGCTGGAACTTCCAGTACAATGTTCAGGAGGAGTGGTGAAAGTGGGCAGCCTTGTCTTGTTTCTGATCTTAAGGGAAAGCTTGCAGTCTTTCACCCCTGAACAGAGTGTTAACTGTGGATTTTTCATAAATGCCTTTTATCATATTGAGGAAGCTTCCTTCTATTCCTAGCCTTCTGAGAGTTTTTATCATGAAATAGTGTTGGATTTTGTCAAATGCTTTTTCTGCATCAACAGAGATGATCTTTTACATCTTTTAAAGATAAAATGCTTTAGTGCTAAAGCCAGTGGTATATTTCAGTGGAGAAGAGAACATAGAAAAGTTCAAGTTGGGACACTGATTATCTGAGATAAAGGCAGAGAAAGCCCAGGGTTTAAAGGCTCCAAGGAAAGCAGATGGAGAATAAATATTAGGGATTAGAGAGTGGAGTGTTCTAGCCCCAGTATAAAATTTTACCAAGCTGAATGGGATGAAGGTGGGAGGAGAATGCCTGCTTCTTGAAAAACATATAAATTCTATATGGTGTGCAATAAATATTAACTTACAGTGATGATACATGCGATAGAGGAAATGTAATAGAAGAAGAGGCTGACAATTCCGCAAGTACCTGTAAGGTATGAGTACTGCTTGAAAACGTCAGAAGGCGTAGGTCCTGTCAGCAGAAAAACATCAATGATTCCACTCTCTGACATCCAGTGCACATCAGTTCGACATCTGACCTTTTGTTTAGCTGCAACAGGGCCCATCTGGGTCTGTGTGTACTAGAAAAAAGAATGGAATGAAGTTCTGAAAAATTTCCCTCTAACCTACAGTATATAAGTATCATCCATATGTAGCTAACAGGTACATATTATTAGCTTTTACTGATTATACTGCAAAGACTTTGGTGGCAGAGAATTGTCACTACAACGCCCAGAGCTATGACTACATTGGTGTTGTTTCTTAACGTACATATGACATGCAGCCATGATCCATAAGCTCACCTTTACTGCAGGCTCTGTATTGATCTCCACCAGTGTTTCGGAAGCATTGAGCCAAAAAATGCCTAGAGTCCTGCCAAGTTTGTGGGCCAGGAGATAAGGCACTGAACCATAAATGCCTATTTTGTCATGTATTTTATATCCATAGACATCCAGGTTATAAAGACGGTAAGCATCGCCATCACTGAGACACACAAAGATGGACTATCATCAGTTACAATCACAAATATATTATTAATGAATAGTATAGCTCCATTCTCCCCTGCAAACACTTGAGTCCTATGCATCTTTCAAGGCTCAACTCTTACCACTTCCCTAATCCAACCACGGTTAATACGATTCTCCTCCTTTGATTCTTTTGGCATCCCCTCCTGTGACAATTGGCATGCATGGTCTCATATCTTAGATATCTTTTCTGAGGATTTCTTGTGAGGTGAGGACTGTTTCCCGTGAATTCTCCACAATAACAAGTGCACAGTAGATATAATTGGCAAACTTTGTATTTCTCTGCTGCTAAAACAAAATGACCAATAGTGTCCTAACACTTCCACAGTGCTGAGTAGGGAAAGATGGGGAACTGAATTGGGGTGGGGAGTCCAAAGCTTGGCCTGGTGTGTGAGCAGCACAGTTTCTGATTCACTTGTTACTACACCCACCTGTTGACCTGTTGTGTAAACAGCATCTGAACCCAGCGCATTGATCAGACTCTATTTCTCTTTGGTTTGGCTTCCTCTTAGTCTGATGCCTCTGGCATTTACTTGTCAATAGCGTTAGTTTGAAATTATCTCTCTGAAGGAATCAAAGGTGACATGAGATGCCACACTTTTCCATTCTCTGATCACTGTCCTTTTTTGGTAAAAGCCTTTTTCTAGGTCAGTGATTTTCACAGTGTATTCTCCCAGGTACCACAGAGAGGCCTTGAGGGGTGAAAGCAAAACCCGGGGAGGTAGTGTGATGAAGCTCTCTCCCCTACTTCAACCACAATAGTTCCATATTTTTACTTCCTCTGTAGATTTTAGGTTCAACATTACAGTTTTTATAATTCTCAACTTTTTGCCAAAAAAAAAAAAGATAAAAATTGAAAACCACTGCTCTTAAAGTTCTTAAAGATCTACAAGCATTATCAAGGAGGAAAAGGCTAGGCACATACTGGCCCAGGCTCGGAAAGCTCACATATTTTCCCTTCAAAGTTTTCCAGTCCAGAAACCAGAGTATCCTATAAGAATTTGTTTTCACTTTACCTCGTATTTTTAAGTTGGTGTGATTCTGCATGTTGCGGGATCCCATAGAGATGCTCAAATCCATGCAAGGAGAAATCCAAACCAATGGAGGCAGGACCTGAAGGGACAAGGATACTGAGTTTTGCTTCTCCGTGGGACAATCAACTAAGGAGACTTACTTGCCTATGAGTGTAGCATGATGACTAGACTAGGGATCTAGAGACCTGAACTTGCCCTGATCAGTCAGTAAATCACGTGTGTGCCTTTTCTGTAAGATGTTACATTCAGGTACTGTGGGGATACAAACATGCTCAAGGCAAAGTTCTGGTCACTTATTAGTGTTTCCTTAGCTATGTGCTGAAGCTCTCTGTGTCCTCATTTATAGTAAATCTTTTCTATCTGTAAAATATGGCTATGAAGCTTTAGAGATTTTTTCTAATCTAAATTTTCCTAAAATGTATCACATGCTTCTTTACATGAGCAAACAAAGATACTGAGCAATTTTAATCTTCACTAGATAGAAGACTGGGTGTCTTCTTATGATCATTTATTCTTACTGCATACAGGGACTATAAAGTCAAGGGCATCAGAGAGAGCTTTCCTGGCTCCTCAAAATACCCCTTCCCTGTGATTGTAGATATGTAAGTTTTTTAAAACTAGAGACAAACTCCTTTATTTAACCATTATTTTAGAGATATGGGAAAAATGCAAGTAACTAGGAGAAATAACAGACTTAAATTCACTCTTAGGTAAAAGTATTTGACATGAAATGGTCCTTATTTAAAGGAATTTATGGAAAGGGGATGCTATAGAGAAGGTCAAATAGATTTATGATGTTACAGAAAGGAAAGCCTGATGGCCCCCCTACTTAAACATTTTGGACATGTTGTCAGTCCTGATAATTATGCTAGGCTATAGATATAGATGCTAGAACAGAAATATCAAGGTGTTAGGGAAGACCTGTTATCCTACTGGTAGGAGGAAGGAGGAAAGTATTTTTCCAACTCTATAAGCCCCAAGTATCTGAACTGTATATCCTAAAGAGACAAACTCCACCCCCGACACCCACTATCACTGTCTAGTGAGAAATGTCACAGATGGGCATGTGATACTCATGTGAATGATGGGGAGGCCTGGAAAAGGTTGAGAACCAATGGCTTGCAATGTTGGAGCTAATGAGCTCTAGAACTTCATTTCTCATCACTTGACTCTCATAAAAATAGAATGTGGCATTTGTGGCTGTCTGATATACTGAGTAGTACCAGCAGTGTGCTGTCCTAGGCCCCTAACATGAGACCATCAACTCCATGAGGCCTGTACTTCTCTTACATACCCCACAAAAGGTACACATTCACTATTTCTCTGTTGCAGTGCATTAGTGAAGAACAGAAGACCCAAATCTGAGATTTCTGTTCCCCTTACAGAAATCACTTATTTGGGTGGAAGGTTGAAGAGACTTTAGATAGCGATATTTAGCCATTTTGGCAGGTTCTCCTTTAATACTACACCAATTTCAATTTTACCATTAACTTTGACATCCACAAATTTTCCGAATTTCTCCTCCCACAGGCCCAGATCCTCTTGGTCTTCCTGATGGCACAAAAAAAGGAGCAAATTGAGTTTATACAATGCAACAAATGTGGTTACCACAATAGCATATTTTATTTGGATTGTTAAAAAATCAGACTGAGAAAATGAGTATCTTTTAAAAGACCTGTTTGTGATGTCAGTATATTTAACAAATTTGATCTGTGTTTTATATAAATGCTAGTAGTCATCCTCCTTATGAACTGCAGCTGACATGAATATAATTTTTTATCGTGGTAGAATAGACATAAAATTTACAATTTTAACTATTTATTTTCCACTTTAACGATTTTATTTATTTTTTTATTTTAAGTAACCTCTACACCCAACATGGGGCTTGAACTCATGACCCTGAGGTGAGGAGTCACATACTCTACTGAGCCAGCCAGGGACCCCACCACCATTTTTTTTCATTTTTACCAGGTTAAAATGACATTAAGTACATTCACACTGTTGTGCAACTATCATCCATCTCCAGAACTTTTATATCTTCCCCAACTGAATCTCCATACCCATTAAACAATAACTCCCCATACCGTCCTTCCCCAGCTTGTGACAACAGCCATTCTACTTCTTGTCTGTATGAATCTGACTACTGCAAATACCGCATATAACTAGGATCATGTAGTACCTGTCCTTTTGTAACTGGCTTATTTCACCTAGTATAATATCTTCAAGATTCATCCATTTTGTAGCATGTGTCAGAATTTCCTTCCTTTTTAAGGTCGAATGATAGTCCACTGTATGTATATACCACATTTTGTGTGTGCATTCATTTGTCAGTGACTCTTGGGTTCTGGACTGCTTTCACGTTTTGGCTACTGTGAATGATGCTGCTAAGAACACAAGCATACAAATATTTGTTTGAGTTCCTGCTTTCCCTTTCGGATATATACCTGTAAGTGAAATTGCTGGACCATATTGTAATTCTATGTTGAATTTTCTGAGGAACTGCCTCACCATTTGATATAAGTATCTTTACACAGTCCAAAATGATGTGAAAACACTTTGAAAAATGCAGTCTTTACAAAAGTCAGATTTTAAAAATTTTTTTTCTTGTAAGCATGTGAGGCAAAATAATTAGAATCAAATAATTTGGGTCAAAAAGCAGACATTTTGGATGAGATGGGTACTTCCCCACCCTGCTTCAGTTAGCGAAACTACATGAGAAGTCAAGACTGCTCAGGTTCACAATCTTTTGATGTAGAGCTAATGAATTTTCTTGGCTTTACAAGTTTCCTTTCTTGGCTTTACAAGTTTCATTCTTCCTCTCTGGTGGAATGAAAAAGTCTTCTAGAAATTGTGTGTGTGTGTGTGTGTGTGTGTGAAATGCATGTTTCTTTTTAAAAATGAGCCCCATGCCCATTTCCAGGTGGTTTCTTCATAATTATAAGCTTCTGTAAAGTAAGCCTCTATGTGAATGTGTGTTTAAATCGCAACTGCATTCTTAATGTAGGGACTATTATCCTTGGGTCTGTGGATGGGCTTTAGAGTTTGTGAACTCCTTCAAACAGTATGAAAATTTTGTTGTACAGAGGTGGTTCATAGCGTTCATCAGATTCTTGCAAGGACATCTATGACACAAAACCACTATCTAAGCTATCTAAATCTTTTTTTTTTTTTAAGATTTTATTATTTGACAGAGAGAGAGACAACGAGAGAGGGAACACAGGCAAGGGGAGTGGGAGTGGGAGAGGGAGAAGCAGGCTTCCCGCCAAGCAAGGAACCCGATGCGGGGCTTGATCCAGGACTCTGGGATCATGACCTGAGCTGAAGGCAGACGCCTAAAAACTGAGCCACCCAGGCGCCCCCTATCTAAGCTATCTAATTAGAGGTCTCCCCAAAGCTGACTGGACATGTTGTCACAAAACTGTGTAAAGCTATGTCTTAGTTGTCCTTCTCGATTTGAAAATGGGAGAAATATTCTCTCTCATATTCATCAGCATGGGTCAGTTTTCAAGAGGAAGAAGCATGTCCTTACTGCACTGGAAATATTTTTCACCATTCCTGGTGGCCATACCTACTGTCAGGGATCCTTCAAAGATGCATGTGGCTTTGGATGAAGAGAAGATTTCTGAAATGCCCATTTTCCATAATTCAGCTAAAATAATCTTTTAAAAACAGACAGCAGACCACGTATCTCTGCTGCTTAGAACCTTTCCAGGGTTTTCCTTTGCCCTTAAAGTCCAAAAAGGTTAACAAGACATAGAAGAATGCCAGCTCCATGGTAATGAGGGACTTTGATTTATTCAATGATACATCACCAATTCCTTGAACAGTGCCTGGCATATAGGAAATACTCAGCAAATGTTTGTTGAATGCAAGAATTATTACAAGACTTTCCACAGAATTGCCCTGCCTATCTCTCTGGCCTTGTTATACAGCATCTTTACCTTTGTTTTTCTTTATCCTACTAAAAAGTATATATATTTTTAAAATGTCCTCCTTCCTACCTCAAGGTCTTTGAATATGAAATTCCCTCTATTGGAATATTCTTTTCCCACCTTTTGACTAGCTAATGTATCCCCATGCATCAGTTTCAGTTGGAAAATCATTTCCTTCAGGAGGTCTATCTTGACCCTCATCTTGGTCAAGTTCCTTGTTATATTCTCCTATAGCACTCTTTTTAACACTCCTCATGCTTGTACTTGGTCAGTGTCCATCTTTCCTATTAGATTCTAAGATTCATGAGGACAGGCTGGGATTTGTTTTACTCACTGCTGATTCTCCTTGCCTAGCATAATTTTTTCAGCTGGCACAAAAGCAGGCACTCAGGAATTACCTGTTTTATGAATGAATGAATGAATGAATACATGAATAGACAAATGAATGAAAGAATGAAATGACAAGGTGAGCAAAAGAGATAGGTAGTCCCATTTATATGCAGTAGAGTATTTATCAAGTACCCATCTGTGAGAGGAAGGGAAGAACAGAACCATTATATTCCACATCATGGTAATGATGGTGAAAGAGATTTAAAAAAAGCTAAATTGCTCAATCTAGATTACCTGAGAAGCGTCCACTGATGTGTCCTTCTTATTTTCTTTGGCAGCTCTGTTTCAATATAAATAACGTTGTTTCACTCATGGGAAGACTGACAGAATTTTGTTCAATGATAAAGATTTTAATTTCCAAATTTTGAGACCCCATAAATTATATCTTTTAACTTATTAAAAATAATGTCATTACAAACATAAGTTTATGAAATTGAACATTTATGATGAACATTAATCCAATAGCTTGATTTATTAAAATGTAAATATATTTGAATTTTCTTGTTTACCCTTAAAAAATTTTATCAGTTTTATTATACATGTAATACATAATCCATCAATGAAACAAAACATAAGCAAGCAAGGTAGAACACAGCTGCCCTCACCCAATTTTACCTTAGTACAGAGCAACATAATGCACTGTCTTCCAAAATGATTGTTGACAACTTATTCTATCATGTACAGTTGGATTTGAGGGCTCATTTCTCCCTATTCTTAACAATACCGGATGTTATACATTTCTAAAATCTTTGCCAATCTAAAATTTTAGAAAAGACTTTCCTGCCTCCTGACAGTGTTCTGATGGAGTCTCAAAGTTTTTACTTTAGCTGCCCTATCAATGCATTGATTAGCATGGATTTTGTAAAATAGGATTTTAAAAACTGGAATGTAATTTGTTAAAGAGAAAAAAACTCATTTTCTCAAACAAAAATTTTTTTTAAAAAAGACAATACATTTCAATTTGAATTTCTTTCATTAAAACTGTAAACTACCTTTTTATACATTAAATGGTATTTCTATTTCTTCTGTGAATTGTCTATTTGCATTATATGTTAATTTTTTAGTGTAAAATAAAGTATGGATATGGATGGGTATATAATGTAAGTTCAGAGGTTAAAGAGTAATATAAAGTGAACTGTGAACCCACATAAGCCACAGAGATGACTTGTTCCTTAGGAGTTCCTGCGTGCCTCTTCTCAAATGTATCATCTACCTCCTCCCCTGACCCTTCAGAGGTAACGACTTTACTCAATTTTGTGTGAAACCATTCCCTTGCTGTTCTTTATAGCATTCCCACAAGTGTATGAGTCCTCCAACATGTATTTGGTTTTGCCTTTAAAATTTTTTTTATACAAATAGAAATGTACTGTAACATACTTTTTTCACTATTTTTTTTTTTTTTTTTTTTT